CTCTTCAGTTCGTTATTATTACAAAGAAATAAATTGTTAAATGGGAACCTAGTACTTTAGAAAAAAATACAGTTGGCAGGGTGGGGTGTCTACCCCTGGGTGATGGTGGTCAGGATAGCTCTTTTTAAAATTTTTATTTATCTTCATTTTATCTTTTAATTTAATTTTTATTTTATATTGGAATATGGTTGATTTACAATGTTGTGTTAGTTTCGGGTGTACAGCAAAGTGATTCAGTTGTACATATACATATATCCATTCATTTTCAGGTTCTTTTCCTATATAGATTATTACAGAATACTGAGTAGAGTTCCCTGTGCTATACAGTAGGTCCTTGTTGATTATCTATTTTGTATATAGTAGTGTGTATATTTTAAAACCAAACTCCTAATCTATCCCTCCCTGCCACATTTCCCCTTTGGTAACCATAAGTTTGTTTTAGAAGTCTGTGAGTCTGTTTCTGTTTTGTAAATAAGTTCATTTGTATCTTTTTTGTTTTTTAGATTCCACATATATGTGATAGCATATGATATTTGTCTTTCTCTATCTGACTTACTTCACTTCGTATGATAATCTCTAGGTCCATGCATGTTGCTGCAAATGGCATTATTTCATTCTTTTTTATGACTGAGTAATATCTCATTGTATATATGTACTACATCTTCTTTATCCATTCATCTGTTGATGGACATTTAGGTCGCTTCCATGTCTTGGCTATTGTAAATAGTGCTGCAGTGAACATTGGGGTGAGTGTATCTTTTCAAATTATGTTTTCTCTGGATATATGCCCAGTAGTGGGATTGCAGGATCATATGGTGGCTCTATTTTTAGTTTTTTAAGGAACCTCCATACTGTTCTCCATAGTGGTTCTATCAACTTACAGTACCACCAGCAGTGCAAGAGGGTTCCCTTTCCGCCACACTCTCCAGCATTTATTGTTTGTAGACTTCTTGATGATGGCCAGGAATAGCTCTTGCCTAGTAAATCTCAAGGGGTACCCAGTCTGATTGAACTGGCGAGGTGCATCAATAGGTCTTCCCTTGCTCTTTCATGGTCCTGCATACAGAAAGTTACTCTACAGGATGGGTTTGTTTGAAACACTGAAAGGTTAAAACAACCGCTAGCAGCCTGGAATGGTAACGTCCACTTGCAAAGAGAGTAATAGTTTATTTTGTAGAATGCCCTGTCCCTTTTCAGGTTTTCCTTTTGGAAACAGTTCTTTTTACTCATAGGGGAAATTAAACATTTCTCTATTCACATAATCAAGTTTACATATATCCAGTCAAACTTGTCTTTCCTAAACCTGACACTTAGTGACTTTTATCCTAACTCTTACTCCTCGTTCCTTACTCTTTAATATTTTAAAATCAAAAAACAAGGTTGAAAACATTTTTATTGATTTGAATTTTCTGAGTATTATTATTACTATTTAATTTTGGGAATCTAGACAACTACTAGACTCTTCTATTGTCAATTATTACTCATCATTTTGTTGGTTTAGTTTTGTTCCAAGTTTAGTTGCCAAAGGAACATCTAGCGCTGGTGCATTTACCTTCAGACAATAAACTTAGTTTCAAACCTTATAACCTTAGCTGAAGTGATTGTATTTCTTAAATTACATTAGGCTCCCCTGAAGCAGGTTAATTGAACTGCTGTTTACTGTTTTGTCAAGATTTATCCCCTTGTATAAATCTACTTGTGTCAGCTCTGTAGCACATTGATCTGAAAGAAAACTACCTGCTCCTAGAAAAACCCTAAACAAGGCTCAGTAATTAAATAGAATGTAGAGATCGACTCATCCCAGCGCTGATTTGAGAGGAAAAGTGTCCTCCTGTGGTTAGAAAGTTTCTGAATTGTGTTTTTTGTTTGGGAGATTGGTTGTTAGATAGAGACAAAGGTCCTTGAGAAATCTTTCTTTCATCTGGTAGAGAGCAATGAGTTGGAGAGGAGTGAGCACTATAATTGTAATAAATGGTTTGTATATGGAGGCTCAAAATCTAGGCTGCCTTTTGTTGTGAGGGTGACATTTGCTTTTGTGCTATTATTCGACCAGTTCTAAGAACAAGTTAATACATATATATGTGATAATTTATTATATGACTTATTACTTGTACATAATTATAAAATTATATAGTTTGTAAAATTTTAGCAACTGTAGCTAGAGTTTGTCTTAAACACTGGTTTAAAATAAAATCTTAATAAGTTATTTGGGGATAAGATAGAGTTCTTAGGCTGGTTTGATAGAGGGCAAACTTAAAAAAAATAAAGCTGGTGCACAAATTGAACAGTATTTTGTGGATAAAAGATATAAAATGGAGGGTAGAAGAGAGTGAACAGAATTGCAGGAGGTTTGGGCCTGGGAAACAAAGGTGGGTATTAAGAAATTCCCACTCAATAAAAGTTAGCCACTGTTTTATGACTACAAAGGAATTCATGGTCTTGTTATTCCCATCACCAAATTGTATAGCTCATTGCAATTTTGGAGTTTGGAGGAGAGAGAGGTCATTTAGAGTTGGAGTAGACCAAAAAGATTTTGTGGAGAAATTTTCACTGGATGTATGGGGAAATTAGGTGGGACTTAACTAGGAAGAAAGGTGAGTTAAATTAATCATGGAAGCAAGGAACAATAAAATTGGTGTCAGAGACAGAAGGACAGGAGCACTGGGATTGGGAAATTGCAAGGATATGTTAGAGTTTGACTGTGGAGGCCTGGCTTCCAGGTCAAAGTAGATTGAGCTTAATCCTACCAACCATATGTGTCTTCCAAGTCTTATTAACAGGGATCTGAACAACTACTGGCTTTTCTAATCACCTGAGTAATGAATGTTTAGAACACAACTAGGAAGTCTTCACTTACCTTTCAAGATACAGGGTTAAGTTCATTTTCCTTAGAGATTTTATAACCCTGTTGGGAGCTCTGGGAGCTCTCACATTTTATAATTAATTGGTTACTATGCTCTCTCCACTACTAGTCTGGGAGACCCTGGGGAGGGGGCAGATCTGTGTCCTACGAAACTGTTGTAGTTCCAACACCTAACAGAGCGAGAGGCAAACAGTAAGCATTTATTGAATATAAATTAGATGAATGGATAAATCAATGGTGAGATGTTGAGTACTTCTCATTTTTAAGGCATCATGTAAGATTTGTGGGGAAATATGTAATTATTATTTTTGATATCTGCCTATAAGGAATTTAAACTTTAGTTTGGCAGCTAGAACTTGGATGCAAAAGTAATTAGTCATTTTTGATAGTTTATACTTTCTGCTTCCCGTTTCTCTGATTGATCACCTACCTTTAACCTTTATATGCCTCTATCACTGTGTCTTCTAAGGTTACTAAATGACCTCCTATTTGTCAAATCTAGTGTTTGAATTTTCTTAATCTGCTTGATCTCTATCTAGCACTGAGCACTAGAGAATCCAATCTTTTGAAATTCTCTTTTCCATTTTGGTACCAAGACACTGAACTGGCTTCTGACATCTCCTTCCCTCCACCACTATGCTAGTCATGCAGCCTCCATCATCAGCATGTTCAGTGTTCCTACCTGATGTGTCATGTGCTTCCCTGTCTCTTCTTTTCTACACTGTATGTCCTTTAGAGTGTTTCCTAGGCTAATACCTCTGTTCATGATATAACTTGTATGTGTAAACTCTATTTCTGTCACTGAGTATCATCACTTGAATACCACATCATCCTCTCAAATTCAGTGTTTTCAAGACTAAACATTGTGTTTCCCCTTAATCCCCTATCTCTTATTCTGACACGGTACCAGGAGTTTCCTTGTCATCCAACCTTGAAACTTGGTACACATTTTCTCCTCTTCCTTACTTTTTCTATTCAACCTTTGGCTCTTATGGCAAAGATACATAGATTCTTTTTCATTGCCACAGTAACTGCCAAGGCACTGGTTTCCCTGCAACCAGGTTTTGCCTTCTTGAGTCCATGTTCTATGTTGAATTGAGCCTCATAAACTATCCACATTAGCCCAACTCCAGAATCCTTCTATGATGGTTATTGCTTGCAGTCTGCCTCGCCAAGCCCAGAGTTTGAGGCCCTGTGTACAATGTGAATGACAGAGTTCTCCAGCTATTTCACCCCCTCACAAACGCAATGATTTAGTGACAATGTACTGGTCAACGTGCCTGATTTGGTGCATTTGCTTGCACCGTTCCCTTTTCTAGAATGAGTTGAAGCTCAACAATTACCTGAACTCTGGCCTCATACTGAAGTCCAGTTAAAGTCTAAGGATCTCCCTAAAGCTTCCTGCAGAGTAGTGTTTTCCAAAGTGTGGGGGACGTAATTTTAAGTGGTGCATTAAAAGAAAGGCATCAAAAGAACATGAATTATTTAGTTAAAAAAGTTATTCCCTTTTCTGTTTCCTTCACTCTTTCTGACTTTATCAAGGAGAAGACCTCAATTTGGTTAAATAAATTTTGGTTATTAACATCACTCTAAGATTTAATAATTTTTCTTTTAATCAGTGAAAAAGCAGGGAGATAACTCAGTGCATTTGGCAGTCACCATTATCTAGTTAGAAATAAATAATGTTATTTTGTTTAGGTTTGTTTGTTACCTTTTATTTACGGTAAAAATACTGGTGTTTCTTTAGGATGATAATATTAATTTAAATAATATTTAAATGTAACATTAATTAATAGTTAAACAATCACCCGATTTTAATATTTAAATATGATTTAAATATTTAAATCATGTTTCACTTACATACACAGAAAAATATCAGGTAAATAATAATATATGTAGCAATTATTAAGAGGGAAATTAAAGAAGGTGGGACATAGGAGTGCCCAGAAATTATAAAAACTGCACATGAATGACTGCAATCTGGGGAACTTTCAATTACCATTTTAGCCTACAAATTTTTTTTTCATTTTTAAACTGTGAAATTTTAGTCACTCTTCTAAGTTTTTCTGTATTAACTAATGGAATTCTTTCAAGAATCCTATGTAAGATACTATTGTTTTCTCTATTTTACAGACAAGGAAATGGAAGACATAATTTGCCCAGCTTCTCTCAAGTGGCAAAGCTGTAGAGACAGGTTTTGAACCCAAGTCTTTAGCCGCCAGAACCTGTTCTTTTAGCTACAGAGCAACTCTGCCTCAGGAGAAGCACATCAATCTTTGATGTGATAATAACAAGTAAGATCTTTTGTGTTTACTATCGTTCATCTGTCTCTTTCACCCAGAGGGAAAATTTTTATTCAGACCTGAAGTCCAGCTCTGTAGAAACCTCCTATAAGTAATTATATTTAGAATTGATTTCCATCTCTACAAATGACTTGAAAAACTTTTTTTTCCAACAGTTTAGTTCTTAAAACTCAGGGAGTACTCAGTACTACAGGTTTAATAACAAGTAGGAAAACACGTCTCTGCATGAATAACTTTTATAGTTTGTTCATTAGAAAGTCCAGGAGCATGATGACCAAGCACAATTTGCATCTGCTTCCTCAGCAGACTGCCCGGTAGATGAACAGCCCTGGGCAGTTCAAGCGAAATATTTAGTAACTAAACAGGGAGTAGTATGAAAGAAAGCAAATTATATACACTGGAGAAATGCATCACAGAAAATGTTATGGTTAGACTTGATATTAGAAAGGATCACCCTTACATTTGCCTTTTCAATTCTCGAAAAAAAAAAACTGAAAGGGCACTTTTCTGAAGAACTGCAATACCCTAATTTTATAATTATTGGAAATCATATTTTGATGTAAGGATTTTATAATAACCAGATATATTTCCAGCATCTAGGTATTTAAAATATAACACAGAAATTTGCTCGTAAACACTCAATATTTGCTTTTTAAACCCACTTAATATAACTAAAGTTGCTGTATTTCTTTCATAATTCTACTATCTACTAATTATTGGTCTAACACAGGAGTAGGCAAACTATGACCTGCATTTCGAACCTGGATATGGCCTCTTTTTATGTGGCTCACAAGCTAAGAATGATTTTCACATTTTTAGGGGTTAAAAAGAAAAGAAGAAAAGAATTATATGACAATGACTGTATGTAGCCCATAAATCCTAAAATATTTACTATATAGCCTTTTACAGAAAAGTTTGCCAACCACTGATCTATCTTCTTTGTTCTTCTATAATGTGCCTCCAGCTTTTATTTTGCTATGAATTTATTTCCTTTTTCTTAAATATCTCTGATTGAATTCTGGTCTGGTAGTACTTCATCTTTCAGTTTACAATATGTGATTCTGGTGCTGTAATATAGTCAGTCAGTTAAAGTCATCTCATATTTTACCTAACCTAGTGTTTGTTATGCTGGAAACCTGCACTTTAGGAAATGCACTTGAGCAACCATCTCCAAGGATGTCTATTTAAACCAGGATATCAGAACTTAGCCTGATACTGATTGGGGCGGGGCGATGGTCATTGAGGCATAGTGTATTGCCTGTGGGAGGAATGTAAGTCATTGAAGCCAGGGGGCAGACAGTGTTATATCTAGAATCTAAAGGTGGCCTGCCTACAAACCATGCCTCCTGGTATTTATACACCTGTAGAGTCCCCTTCCACACTGAATTTGAGTTTGCCTTTGGTACTTAACAGAATGCAGCACAAGTGACACCATATTACTTCCAAGCCAAGTCATAAGTCTTGTAGCTTCTGGCTTGTTCTCTTAGAATGCTTGCTCTTTGAATGCTTCCTCTCAAAATCCAAAAAAATTAGCTAAGAATCTCAGGCCACGTAGAAAAGACACATGTAGACATTCAGCCCCAGCTGAGCTCCTACACAAAAGCCAGCATCAATCACCAATCATTTGAGTAAGCTATGCTGAATAACTAATCTCAGACTATCAGGTGATTCCAGAACCAGCTGCCATTTGTTTGCAATCATTTGAGAGATCCCAAGCAACAAGCACCCAACTGAGCTTCTACCACCATGAAGGGTAATAATAAATTATTTCAAACCATTAAGTTTTGAAGTGATGTGTCCTGCAGCAATAGATAAATGGAACAACATGTTCCAGTAATTCTTTGAGTATGTCCTTATTTACAGGCTTATCTTGTTCTTTCCTGTGGCATGCCTGGGATCAACCATTTCTCCAAGAAACCCTAATTTCTATTAGTGGAGAATGATATTTAAAACTAAGATATGGATGTTAGATGATCTCCTTGTTATAATAGGTCTCTACTTTGAGGTCCTCTCAGGGGCCAGTACTAAAATATACAATATACGTTATTTATTTTATCTATTATCTAACCATGTATTCACAATGAAAATTTTCAATTCTAAAACAACCACACAGATTATTGTAACCATTCCCTTTAACATATTTGTACCTCTTATTGCTGTCAATATACTTACTTATTTGATCAATCTCTCTTACTTCATACCAACTTTATAATGAGGGAGCCCTTTCTTCCCTCAGTGTAGATGCCCTCCTTACCCTACTCAAGTTTTAACTCCAAACCCAGCAAAGACACTAATGCTACACCCATCTACTATATGAGCTCCAACCTTTATTGCCCATCTAATGACTTTTGACAAAATGAGAAAGGGAAGAAGGGAGGAAGGGAGGAAGGAAGGGAAGGAGGGAGGGAGGAAGGAGGGAAGGAAGGAGAGAAAAAGGATATGTTTTAATAGTGATTTTTGAGGAGAAAATCTGGCACATGTTGACTTATTTTGAGATTGGAGTATGAAGAGAGCAGTGTAAAATTGGCCAAGAGGATATCTCAAAAATCAGGCAGAGCTGATGTGAGAAAATGGAGAAAAAACATTTTGAAGAGAAATTTGAGTTTAAGAGCTGAATAGGTACAGGAATTTATACAGAAAAATAAGTAAAAGTTGATTTCTAAGTACAAGACTTTTATTTTGTTGGCATGTAGAGAGTAGCTCAAAGAAGATATGTTCATGTGAATGTTCTTGGGGCTAAATAACCTATTAAACATATTGCTGCATAACTTTGCAACTGTAGATTTGTGATGCAAATATGGAAAATTAAGTCAAATTTTCATGTGGTTATAGTCAACAAGAAGAACCAATGGAATAATGTCTAATTTAACAATACATTGCAAACTCAGGTATAGTAACTATGCTCAACCCTTAAATATAACACTATGGCTTAGTGTTTTACATGTAAAACAGGCTCAGAAAAAAGATGAATTCAGCACTGGCCACATCACAAGTTCATGCAGTAACTAAAAGCAAAGCATTTCTCAAATGATTTTTTTAGCTTGCAAACAGATTGCACTCTCTTGTTAAAACATACTGAAATCTGTATTATGAAACTCTAATAGGTTATGCCATAGTAAATTCTTATTCTTCTGTCAGTCAATGAAAGAAAAAGAAGCCTGATTTGAAGAATTGAAATTGATTTACAATGAAAAAGAAATTCTTATTTTTTCCCTTTGAGCTACAATTTCTCTTTTCTCTCTCAGTGAACTGTAAGTAAAAGTAAGACCTTGTCATCCGTCAGTCACTTACACCCTCTGAAAATCTACTGTTTCAGTCCCAGCCCTGTGATGACTTGGAAACTGGTCATTAACTTATTTAGTACTGGTCAGCTGAGCCCACATTCCACACTCTCATTTTCTCTAGAATAGAAACAGTTACTGTTCTCAATCTTATTCATCCACATCTTACATATATGATCTGTCTCAATTTTTCAGAAACCAGTTATTTTATCTATTATTCACAATATGGTTTTCAACATCCACTATTTTCACTAACCATGGACAAATAGTTTTCTGCATTTCCAGATTTTAATAGGTAAATATTGTCTTCATGGAGAAAAAAATCTATCTTTTAATCTGCTCTATAATTTATGGACATACACTATTTTTTAAAAATATAAAACAAAACCAAACAAACCAAAACAGACATTCAGCAGGCTGGATGCTCAAAAGTTATCTAATTTATTCAAAGGCAACTTGTTGCATATTTCTTTAAAAACAAATATTAGCATTATTAAAGAAGTAATTATTTATAAGAAGTAATTAGATTGTAATAAGTCAAGGATGCTTGTTGTAATATTTAGGGAACCCAGGAAAAGAATGCATACCTAACAACTTAATAGAAAGTTTAAAAAATGGAATTTTTGATAATAGTAATATGTGATCAATCTAAAAGATGAACAAGAAGAGAGAAAAGAGAACATAAAATATAATAGGTCAAATAGAAAATATCATTTAGATGATGGAGAGAAAAATGGCCAACTATTTGGGAAACTGTAAATATATATACAGTTTATACACACAAATATATAATTGAAATAAAAGTGAATTCTATAAAACCTATAATTTTCAATGAAGAAATTAACTCATGAAATATGAAGAAATTATGAGTGGATATTTATATAACCTAAGAGGTAGGGATAACTTTATTCATTTGTAAGATTAATGACTGAATCTCTAATGAGAAAGTGTTAGAATTGACCATGTGTTTAAAACATCTTCACACCAAATTGAAGTACATAAACAAACAAACATAAAATAGACAAATAGGAAAATGATAAAATATATACCAAAAGATTATATTTCTTGATACATAGAATGTTCTTAGACAATAATAAAAAACATTTATATAATGTTTCTTTGCAGTAACTGTAGCTTTGTACCATCAGATTTAGAAAATCATAGAGCTGAGAGAAATTAAATATAAATCTTCATTTTATATAAAAAAAACAAAACATGCGAGCACTCCAGTAGAAAAATGGGAAAGATCATCAACAGGCAATTCAAATGAATACCATTAGATAAATTATAAAATATGTTACCTCAAGAGAAATCAAAGAAATATTACTTTAAAACTCATTTTAAATTATTATACTGGAAAATGTTAATGCAATAATGTGTCGGAGAATGGACATTTTCATGTGCAACTATCACACTGTAAGTTTGTATAACTCTAGAGGATATGATGGAGCCAAAAGTTTAATGCATTTCTTTATACTTCAAAATTCCATTTTTAGGAATATTCCCTCCTAGGCAAGTCACTCAATAAGTGTAAAAATTATAAGTATATAACAACATGACTTTAACAATTTTGTAAGTAATAAGAAAAAAGATACTTTAAAAAAATTTTATTGCAGTATAGTTGATTTACGATGTTGTGTTACTTTCTGCTGTACAGCAAAGTGAATGAGTTACACATACACATATATCAACTCTTTTTTAGATTCTTTT